CCACACTCCGTCCTCTAGCCCCCACGCCCACACCTCATCAAAGATGCACAATTAAAACTGATATTACCTGTTTTTTTCCTGTCTTTTTATATATTTCTTTGCAATTTTTTGTTAATTTTTTGCAATATCAGTGGTTAGTTGTGCATCCGTCTTTAACCCAGACATCCCCCCCACCTCCCAAACCAACCCACAACCAACTTATAAACCTTTTATATCATGTGTCTCCAAAGAGATATGTTTTTATTTATTGTTTTTACGTGGATGAGCAACAACGCTGGATGGCAAAATATTAGTTTGATGCTCAGAAGTTGATCATCAGGGCTGAGTAAGCAGAATCTTAGAGATTACCATGAAGTGATACAGTTGCCAATAAAGAATAAAGATAAAGAATTGGCTGTTTGTGATGTCGTTTGAGCCATTAAGAGATAACCGGCACATTCCCAACACACAGGGAAGGTCACACTACGATATCTGTTAAGCCCCAAAGCTCAGTCACGCACTGTTTTCTGTTAAAACGGATTCATTCCTGTGTCTCTCAACGTTAGTTTTTCCTGTTCCAACTAAGCTACTGTATGTGTAAAACAAAGGTGGGGATTTGTGTCACAGTCTGAGCTCTTTTTTGTGCTACCGGACAAGACGACAGCTCTTTAAAGAAACACAGTGTCACAGTGTGATGTTAAAAAAATGAGACCCACATCCACCCACATCTGGAGGTTGGAAAGGACTGAAGGATGGACCAAAAACTTGAGTCCCGTTTAAACACCGATGCTTTAAAGAGAATTACGGTGATGAGAGAAAGGTTAAGGGAAGGAAAACAAGGCGGCCTGTGGACAGAATCTGTCATACCAGCTGGATTATTGGAATCATAAACACACAAAACAGGCTGCGTGCAAAAGAAAAAAACATCCTCACACAAAGAGTCATGCTGAGTGTCACAAATAGAAAAAATAAAAGTCATTTCATTCGTCAGAAATTAACTTTTTTTCGGATTTATGACTATTTCACTCATTCAATCTCACTCATTATAGCATGACTTAGACACAGATGGATCTGAGCATGATTTCTCATTAATAAATGAAGTCCACACAGGATAGCGTCATAATAATATCACTGACTATATAACGATTCTCTTGTTTTGCAATAATGTGAGATTGCTGTGTGTAAGCACTTCA